AGTTTCAAGAAATTAAAAGATATCCATATGAGGAATAGGTCAAGAGGAAACGGATGAGGAACGAAAGAGAGTAGCACGGGGAGAAGAAAGAAATGGGAGGGAGATAGACAGAGGGAAAAGAGAGAGCTCGATCTCACCTTGCTAATATCGTCCTGTAGTGATTTACACGACTCGTCGAAGTTTTACATATCGATATCATCCGTCGTTTATTTACTCACGCGCTGCCCAATTTGCGATTATTCGTTATGGTATATTGGTAGTTCTTGTTGGGCAACGCGCCGACATTCAGCGCCAGTACTTTGGACACGATGTTGAGGTCCTCGCCACCCGGGCCCTGCACGTTGCCCAGCTCGCCGGCGACCCCCGATTGATAAAGCAGACGTTGGATCTGCTTGGCAGGCGTCTGCGTCCTTGGCGGGATCTGCCGGAACTGAACGTAGGGATTGTAGACGAAGGTACTCGGGTTTCTCGACGGCACGTTGAAGTTAAACGTGTTTCTCGATGGAGATGATTGCTTGTTGTCCAGATTGAAACCGAAATTGCCGACCGCGTTAAAGGCCTCCTGCCTGTTGAATCTGGTGGCCGATGCTACGGGCGGTTGGAAGTCGGTGGGAAATGAGATGAAATTCTGTTGTAACCGTTGCTGATGCTGGGGTTGATGCTGAGGTTGATGCTGATGCTGTTGCTGGGGTTGAGGTTGCGGCTGGGGTTGTTGACGAAATTGCTGAAAGTGTAGTTGCTCCGGAAAATTCGTGCGGAATAACGGCGGCGTGGCGACGCTGGGAACTTCCAGAGATACGCTCGGTTGAAGATGAACGTTTGGGGAAGCCTCCAAAGGCGGCTGAAGCGGCAATACGTTCGATTGCTCGAAGATGTGCGATTTCTGCAGTAACGGGAAATGATTGTGCTGGTGCAAACGGTAGATCCTTTGCTCCTCCAACTGCTTCAAACGCTGTTCCTCCAACTGCTTGATCTTGGCCTGTTCCTCTAATTGCTTAATTCTTGCCTGTTCCTGAAGGTACAACTGTTGCTGCTGCTTCTGCCTCAACTGCTGCTCGTAGAGTTGACGTTGTCTAACGAGAAACTGCGTCTGCTGGATCTGCTGTTGCTGTAGCTCTGCTAATTGTTGCTCCAGTAATTTCTGCTTGAATTCCAACTGCTCCTGAAGGGTTAGAGCTTGCCCGTCACCCGATTGCCTGTAAATCGGCACGATGCTTTTCGGCACACCAAGCTCATCCTGTTGCACCGTGAAGGCCGCTACTAGAGGCGCTTGGAAAATTTTCACTTCCTCTGCCTGAACTCGTTCCTTAGAAGACAAAGTGACATTATTCGTGGGCGGAACTGTCGGACTAGATGCTGTCGGTTTTGGTACGATCAGCCCGTTGGAGCTGGTAATCCCGCTGCTGGCACTTTGCGCCAAGCTCTCCGATAATTGCGTGATCGGCTTCAGCGTGATGCTCTCTATCTTGCTGACTGAGGACGAGCCCGTGGAAGTTTTCGCTTCCAAAGGATCCGTTCTCGCTTCCAAAGGATCCGTTTTAGATTCAGGACGCAGCGTCGTACTTTTATCCGGTAGAATTACGTTCTGTATGTGAAAGCTTCTGGCGTCGTCGCGACTCGCCTTTTCTATCATCGTCGACGAGCTTGAGGAAACGAACCTCTTCGACTCGAGAAAGCTCGAATTCTGCAGCTTCTCCTCGTTGGGGATCTCTTCATCTCCTGGAAAACCGTCGAACGAGAAGGAGGCCTTGGGTATCACCCCGATGTTCTTGTTCAGATTTTTCTTGACTACATCGTCGAACGTCTTCTCGACAGTCATAATAAGCGATTTTTCATCTTCATTCCTTCGCTGCTCCGCGGATTCGGCCTCTAATTCCGTTAATGCCTTCAGTAACGCTTGCCGCAAATTTTTGTCGAGTTTTACCGGAGGTGGTGGAATTTCGAGAGTCTTAGCTGAGGTCTCAGAAATTTGAGACCTGGCCAGACTGAGGCAGAATACGGCTACTAAAATTGTTATGGCTACCTGCAAAGTTATAATGACACATTATAATATTATACAAGATAAATTACATTTATTGTTAAATTATTAAATCTCGACATCTTTTATATTACGCGAAGTTAAATCTTCTATTCCCCTTTCCCCTTGTCGTAGCGAAATTTGTCTCCATGCGAGAGATCGATTTCGATAGATTTGATGCAACGGGGTCGTTCGGAAGGAGATAAATCACTGGCAGAACTTATTTATATATGTCACGAGATTTTGATGACACAAAAATCGACATTTATGACTGGTTTCACCGTATTGATTCGAGAGAGATTGAAAGCTAAAGTCTGTCCGGCTCGGTCTATCTCCGTGAGTCCCGTTATATGAAGTGGAAGATTCACAACGGCCCGTAGGCGATTTTCTCCTCCTAAAAACATGGTAAACACGTACCTATGGCTTTCGAGACGTAGACGAGCGAGACTGTGGCGATTCGCGTGTTTTACGTAATTACGCGAGAACGCGCGAATATACGTCGTCTGTCGTCGCCGGGGAGACATACGCGTGCGTAATTAATTGCGCATGGGAATACATATTCCCATGCAAAACTGAAAACTATACAGCAGGTATGATAGTGCTTCGGTAGAAGTTCGTTCTTTCTCGTCGATTACTTTGCAAATCATTTCTTTTTATTACGCATTTTCTCACTTTTCGGAATCAAAGAAACGTCTTTTAATTTGCTCACTCGCGCCGAGGATAATGATTCGACTCGAGCTACGAGCTATGAGTATACCGATCAAGGAAGGAAACGATAAACGCGAGAACTCGACGGGGATTCCATTATGTTTCTGTTGAACTCGAATGCAATTAGAAGAGCGTATCTTTAATTACGCACGTATGGAGCGTATGTGCGCGGCTCTTGGGAATAAACTTTGGTATTTAAGTGGAGAGAAACTCCAGATGGATGCCTCTCGGAGCTTTGTTACGTCGCCGGGGATAATCAAAATTCAGTACGGCGGGGACTTTCGTAAAAACGTTTACCCCTTCAAGCTCTATTACACGTTGCAATTCTCAATTCTCATCGTTGCATCTCTGCGTAATATATTGTCGATATTGTTACACTTCAATTGGAATGCATCGAGATGCGTCTCGCGTTTCTCACGATGTTAAAATTATGAAAGTAAAAGTATAAACATTGAAAGAGAGCGCGCTCAAGAAATTTTCCCTACGCCTCCTTTTGCTATAAG